GCCCTTTGCCGAGGAGCCCGCAGGAGGCTCTGGGACCCCCAGGCTCTCTGGTCCCCTGTACGTGACACACAAGGGGGTACAGTGTGCACTTTACTGAATTCCAGTAGCTTTGAGGAAACGTAACTACATGATGTTCTGCTGCATGATATCGGACCTGCCGTCGCTCCGCAGAACTTTCCTTAAAGAGAAAGGGAAGCGAAAGGCCAGTTTACCGCTCGGCGTCAGCTGTCCCCGAGCTGTTGTGGGCAAGCGTGGGAACGCACGGTGGACGCGTGTGGTTTCCGGAGCCATCGCTGCCTGGGCTCCGTGGCCCGCTTTTTCACAGCTGTCCGCTCTGCTCGGGCGCCGGGCAGTGCCCTCCGCGTCCGAGTTGGTTCTAACCGGGTCCCCCCCACACACACACCAACATGAGGAGACGTCTCTGAACGATCGTCAGGGAGGCGGTCCCTGCGACAGAACCGCTCCTGGGCCCTGGCAGGCCCCGCCCTCAGGCCCCGGTGGTCATCGGAGTCAGGCCCCAGGCCAGCGCCCTGTCCCCAGGAGGAGGCCCAGTGTGCTCCCCACAGGGGGCTGTTCGGTGAGACGACAGCCAGTGTCCGGCCTCCTCCCCATGGCCCGAAGAAAGGCCGCTCCCTCGCCGACACGCCGGGCCCGGGCCTGTGCTGTCACTCTGTCCTCAGAAGGGCTGTCCGGCCGCACCCTCCTCGCAGGGAGAAGCAGCCCCCAGCCCCTCCTTTGCGCCCCTTAGGGAGCTGGTTCCCTTCAGGGCAAAGGGGGGAAGGGCACCTCCCACTCAGGGGGTGTTTGTAGAGGTTCAGGGGCCAATCACGGGGTCCTGAGCCTGGTCGAACAGACTGGCGTCAGGAAGGGGAATCTGACCATGCGGTGGAGGTCAAGGTCATGGGAAGGTGATCTGAGGTCCAGGTGGGCGATGAGAGCAGCAGGAAGGAGGCAGGGGCAGCCTGTGCCCTGAGAGTTGGAGGGCGCTGCTGCCCCCTCCTGGGAAGCTGGGGACATTGCAGCGGCTGGTTCCCGTGGTGAGGCCTTGGATGGGCCGAGCTGAGAGCAGCACTTCCCGGGGAGAGGTCTGCACGGTGCAGGGGGGTGGCCAGCGGGAAGGGAAGCTTCTCGGCCAGGAGCCCCTGCCTGGGACAGAGGCGGACGCAGAGGTGGGGCTCCGGGGACGAAGCTCAGCGGGGCCAGTGCGGCCGTGGGGGGCAGGGGTCGGGTCCGCTGGCGGCTGGATCAACACCGAGCATCGAGCTATCCTCCTCCACACTCGGAGCCGCTCAGCAGGCGTCCGGGGCGGGTGGTGCTCGGGCGGGCGGTCCCTCTGCAGGTCCCGTTGGCCTGGAAGGGAGCAGCCGGGACGGGCACTGACCCCTGACCCCGCTCTCCCCCAGGACGACTTCCTCCTCATCCACTACGACAAGGGGCCCTGCAGGAACAAGCTGGGCCACTCCAGGGCCTCGGTGATCTGGCACCGGACACAGGTAAGGGCGGCACCTGGGCTTCCAGCCCGGGGGGTATGTGTGCATGTGTGCACGCGAGTGTGCGCATGTGTGTGGTGTGTGTGCACGAGTGTGTTCATGTGCATAGTGTGTGCGCGTGGTGTGTGCATGTGTATGTGTGTGTGTGCGCGCACAAGTGTGTTCATGTGCATAGTGTGTGCGTGTGGTGTGTGCATGTGTATGTGTGTGTGTGCGCGCACAAGTGTGTTCATGTGCATAGTGTGTGCGTGTGGTGTGTGCATGTGTATGTGTGTGTGTGCGCGCACAAGTGTGTTCATGTGCATAGTGTGTGCGTGTGGTGTGTGCATGTGTGCGAAAGTGTGTACATACATGTGCGTGCAATAGTATGTGTGCATGTGTGTGCACATGAGTGTGAGGGTGTGTGCACGTGTGTGCATGCATGTGCACAAGTATGTTCATGTGCCTAGTGTGTGCACGTGGTGTGCATGTGTGCTAAAGTTGTGCATACATGTGTGTGCAAGAGTGTGTGTGTACGCACATGCACGTGTGTGTGTGGTTTCCAGCACACCTGCCCGTTGGTTGGAGGCCTGCCCTGTGGAGACACTGGCTATCTGTGTGGGTCCTGGCTCACGGATGGGTTTTGCACACCATCGCGCCCTGGGCCATGTGACTTCCCTCTGGGCATCTGTGCTGACCGGGTTGCAGGAAGCAGCCAGGAGCGGGGCCAGGCGGGGCGGGCAGCTGGACGTGCCCCTGGTGCGAGGAGCTGGGCCCTGTCCTCTGCCCTCGGCTCCGTCCCTTCAACCACGATGGCCGCCAAGTGTCCTCGGTCTTGTCCGGGCGTCCCGGGAACCCGCCATCACGTCTGAGCTACGAGGCGCGTCTCCTTTTCACACGCGCTCATCTGCTTCCTCAGGACGCAGCCCGGACCAGGGCGCGTCGTGCCCACTGGTCTCCCTGCTCCTCTGAGCTGGGACAGGCGCCTGGAACCTGCAGCCCAGCTCGCAGCAGGGAAGGCTCGCTGGAAGCCCGATGCTGGTCGCCCCGTGTTCCCCCC